TTGCAATGAGCCAAGATCGCGCCACTGCACTCCAGCCTGGGCAACAGAGCGAGACTCAGTCTGAAAAACAAAAAAGAAAAAAAAATAATTTGTTCCCTGTTTTCTTTTCCTAAACTGTGCCAGAGGCCAGGGCAGGAAGAATGGGGAGAGCCTGTGGCTAGGGCTTTGCTCCTCCCGGGATCTGGGATCTGGTGAGGGGTCACACTCTCACCCATTCACAATCTGAGCACATTGCCTTGGGCACTGCATGAGAACAGCAGGGCACCCTGGCCAGACCCCAAGTTCTCCCTTCAGTTTCACTAAGCAGCTGCCACATGAATGACATTTTACATATTGTTCTCTGCTTGTTCATGGGAGTGGACAAATTTGGTGATTGTGAGGGGAGGGTCCCTCTCAGTTGATGACTTTGGGTTGTGTTTCTCAATATCTTTACTGTGACTGCTATTGATGTGAGGAGATACTTGGTTGGGTTGGAAAAGGCTCTACCTTGCACGACTCTGTCTCTGAGCACATTGCTGTCTCTGAAGTTGGTCAGGGCAGGCCACTGGGATTTGGGGAGCAGAAGTGGACCGGTCAGTGAAAGCAGCATTCCAGACAAATCAAGAATGGCACCACCCTTTATTGCTGCCAATCTATCTGAAATTCTGTCAGTTTTTCTGGGTTTTTGGAGACAAGTGTACCAGAGTTAAATTAAATCATTTAATTTCCAGGAGTGATAGGCATGGGGACATATTACTCAAATGGATCTGGAATCCCATTTTTTCCAAGAAATCTTTCTTGATTCATTCGATGAGTGGTTATAGTGGACATATCTTCCTATTAATTGCCAACAGCACCCCCAGCTCCCAAATTCATTCTTTTGTCTATGTGTAAACAGCACTTATCAGATGTTACATTTGTTGAATTGGTGACTCTATGGCTGTGATTTAATCTAAGTTTCCAGGGAGGTATGGGTTAGATGCCAAGCTCACTACCTTGAGCAGACAGGGACTGCTGGAGAGGAGAGTGGGGTGAGCTCCCTGAGACCCAACGAGAGCCTGGGAACTGGCTGTCATTATTGTGTTGGCTGTTGCAGGGCTCTGGGAGTCTGCCACAGGCTGTCCTGGCATCCGTGTGGTGTCTGTGTAACTCTCCCACATGCTGGAAAGGTAGGGCCCCACATGCCTTGGTGCCATGCCAGAGCGTGGGCTGCAGCAGGACAGAGGTCATTTGGCAGAGCTGGCATTAGCTCCCCAGGGATGTTGGAGAGCCTTGGGAGCCCAGGCAGGTGTCCAGAGGCAGAGCAGGAGTCCAGGCCCAGATGGGCAGGTAGGACATAAAGGTCAGATGAGCAGGTGGGGAGAATCAGAGAAGGCAGGAAAAGTCTGAGGGTTCATTCTTGATAGTTAAAGCAAATTGAAGGACCAAAGACAGCGAGGACAGCAGGGTACAATGGTGAATGCACCCAGCAAGGAAAAGAGACCTGAGTGCTCTTGCAGTGCAGCCCTGACTCCAGGATGTAATCCAGGAGCCTGCACTTTCCTTTGCTCTCCAGCCTCAATCTCAATTTGTCAAATGAGAGGGCTGGCCTAGAGACTCTATAAAGTCCCTTTTGACAGTGATATCTTAGGGGCTTGAGGGTCCATGAATCATCCTTTCAGTCCTGGAGGAGGCTCTAGAGCTCTAGAGTCACCAATTGTTTGTCACTAAAGGGAGGGACTCAGGAATTCCAGTGTTTTCCAGCATTTCAAAAATAACAAAATTATATCTATACCCACAAAAGGACCACAACAGATGATCACTTAAACTGCAGTTTGATAGCAGAGTTTGGGGGAAATATAATAAAGAGATATTATTTATGGTACAAAGTTTGAGGAACTGATGAAATTTAACCCTCTCATTTTATATATGAAGAAAATGAAATCCAGAGAGGAAAACTCGTTTGGCCAAGGACACCTAGGAAGTTAACAGAACAAGAATCAGAAGATTTCAGTTTTCTAACAACCCAGTTCCAAGCTTTTACTGCCCCAACCTCCTCTTCCCTTCCTGGCTTATGTGCCAGCATCGCTTGCAGAGAACAGGACCTGAGCTTTTGAAAAATGTTCTAGTCTTCCTTTCTCTGATAAGTAGATTTCATCTAACAGCTTTCCCTTCTAGCCACTCCAGACACCAGTGACTGAGTGTGAACTAATCCAGTAGCCCTAGAGAGATGTGTTTCCTCTGCTGCTGATGCACTGGGGATGGGAGTATAGGTGTGTATGTGACGGGATTGAGCAGGAAAGTCCTGTGTTTCCTGTGGAAAGGGCATAGTTTCTGCAGAGCCTGAAAGGCAGCTACTTGCAGGAATAAGGAGAGTTATGGATTGGAAATGAAGGGGCCTTGCTATGAACCTGGCTTAATTAACTACTGTGCGACGTTGGGCAAGTGACCTCTCTGGGCCTCAACTTCTTCATTTATAAAATGGAGCAGCGTGGGGGAGCCCAGCTGTGCACTAAGAAAACCTTTCAACCCTGACGCTGTAAATATGTGTACTTTGCCCCTTCCCCATGGAGCTATTCCAGTTTCTCATACGTAGGCAAAGGGTCCAGTAAGTTCAGTCCCTGGTTGGGTAGTAAGTCCCAGAAAGACTGGGCCTGTGTATCCCACATACCATGACCATTCTAATCTTCCTGAAGAACTTCATTTTATGACGCCTCCTGCTGAAACTCTTGGTGGCTCCATACTGCTTACTGGAAAAATCCATCATTCTTTTGCCTGACATTTGAACTTCCAAGAGTTGGCCCATGTTACCTATCCAGCTTCATGCCTTGCCATCACTCGGGGATGCAGATGTGGAAAGTTAGAGACCCAAGTTTTACTTCCAACTTCACCTTGCAGTTCTGTGACTTTAGGAAAGTTTTGTAACCTCTCTAGGTCCCATATGTAAAATGAAGATGATAAAATAATTCATCAATTTGATTTGAAACACCATTACAATTGAGAAAGGTAATTGAATTTTAGCTCACTCATTTTCCCTTCCCCAACTAATGCAGATCATATCCTTGGGAATAGGAATTGTACACTTCTCTTATATCCTCACAATGCTTAGCATAAAGTCCTCCACAGAACAAAGGCTCAATAAATATTTGATGAGTTGATGTTTTGCCTGTTTCAGAAGTTATCTAAGATAAGCGTAACATTTGCTTTCCTTTGCAGTTTGCCCAGCTGGTCGCCATCTACAAGACACTGGGAGGAGAAAAGTTCCCTCTCATTGAGCAGACATACTACCCCAACCACAAAGAGATGGTAAGTGGCTCAGTGGGGATATTAGTCTTTCTGCTGTTTTCATTTTGCACTTAGCCACCTGGTGACTGTGGGGCTCTGAAAAGGACCTCAGCGTCTCAACCCCAAAGACTCCACTGGGTTGAACTACAGAACTTGTGTGGCTGGAATAGCTAGATTTTAGCTGACAGCCTCTTGTCAAATTCTGGAGATAGAATAGGGAAGAACAGGAGTAAGGGCAGTTTAATCAAGCTGAGAGAATAACAAACTTCTGGACCAACAATCAGATCTCACTGCTTTTGAGTCCCAGCCCTGACTGTGCCACTTGTTGTTGAACAAGCTACATTTCCTCACTGTGTGCAGTTTCCAATAAGATGGTCAAGTGGGCATAATTATCCTTGCACAGGATACTCTAATAGGGTACATACACAATTTAAGTGAGAGCCATTAAGTAATAGCCTCTGGGAAAGTGTGAAGCACTCTACTAGATGTAGGGCATTGCTCCTACTATTATTACTCCCCTGACTCTCCCATTCCCCTGGCGCTTCCACAACTGTGATAAGGCTGGGTTAATATTGTGCCTTCTGCCATCCTAGTAAGTCAGAAGGAGCAGAGAGATGGGACGGTTGGTTGGTAAGGAGGCTATTGCCAATGTTTTTCCTGTGCAGGGACCTGGAGCTCAAACTCCCTTCTTCCCTGTCCCCACACCCTCTGCCCCAGGCTGGTGTGATCAATTGGTGATCTTGCTTAACCCACCAATGGAGACTCCCTGCAAAGCATTCCAAGTGGAACAGAGATTATGTTTGTCCCCGCCTCCCCACTTCCTTGGCCAAAAGGGGTCTCCGTTTACACCATTTCTGCAAATCAAGAGCCTTCTTCTGACACATTGTCTATGACCCTGCTTGGCAGCAGACCACATATCAAAAAACAACCTTGGGTCTTGAAAAGAACCATCTCTGTCATCTTTGCCAGAGCTTCCCCAGGGAGAAGCTCTGAAACTTTAAGCTCTTGTCCTTAATAAATCCTAGAGGCCAATATCAGGACTTTTCCTTTCAGGGCAAGCCAGGAAGCCTTGCAGAGGCTGAGGAGCCCTAAGGGTCCTTTGGTTGGGAAATCTCAGGGAGCCCAAGACACAATGGTGAGAGTACTCAGCTGAAGGGTACAGGGGGCTCTCTGGGGATGAAAACTGGCTTTTTCCTGCTGTAAAATCTAGCAGGGCTGGCCGCTGGAAAAAAAATTGCCTCAATTGCCAGGTATATTCCCTACCTACCGTCCTTTCCCCTCATGGGCCTTTGTGCTATTTCTCTCTGGTGCTCTATCCTGAAATTTGCCCTCAAGAGAGGACCACCTCTCTGTGGTGTAAGAAGCCAACAAAGGGGGATTTCAACTCTATAAGTAAAAGGCTTTGTGGCTTTTAAAAGGTTCTGAAATAGGAATGAAGATGTTAGTAATTCAAAAAGAGACAGAAGAGAAGCCTTATGGACATCAGTTGAGGGCGTTAAGGAGAGTTAACCTGGAGAGGTAGTACCTATTCTGAGACAATAAGTGCATTCTTATTCAAAGAGGTGCTAACCAGGTGGGACCCTCTGCCAGAAATGCTGTAGAGGGGATAACAGCATTGGGAGGCAGGTTAGGCCATTCTAACTCTCACATTGAGTGATTCCGTGTCCCCCAAATGACTCCCCCAAACAGATGAAAGTGTATCAGAGGATTAGGATGAGTTGAGACAGGGGAAGTAGAGGATACACAGCCACAGTATGTTGTTGTTTTCATTCCTGCCAGTCAGTCTGTTTATGATGTTGTCAACCCACCTTCTGGTATTGTACATCACAAGGATATACCATCTCATATGTATGACATTCACCATTTCTCCCCTACCAGATCGATTAAGACAAAGGAAAACATGTTTTCCTTGGGAGGAAAGAGAATAATCCTGGCTTTAGAAAACAAACTAAGCCAAAAGAAACACTTGCAGTAACAGCTACAAGGCTAGACTAATGGGGTTTGGGAGGCAGGGGCGACAGGTTGAGGGCAGGGCAGAAAAGTCATGGCCCCTTCCCTGCCCTGACAGTGGCCAGACCGTCCACTTGGCACTTCTTATTAGCTGGCAGCAAGAAGTCAAGTGGTAATGGCCAAAGCTCTGCAGGGGAGGAGAACCGGCTTGATCTTCAGGACTCTTGAAGGGATGTGATGGTCACTGGTCCCTACTAGGGCTGGATGATGTCAACAAACTCCTTCCTGAGAGGCAGGTGGCCCCGGTACCAGCTGCAGGTGCCGTCAACATGCTTCATACAGACATAATGCTGAGCCTGGTAACCATAGAGCTTTCGTTCCAACAGCCAGTCTGTCCAGAGGCACTCATTAGGGGCCGAGATGATACAGGGTACTGTATAGCAGGTGGTGATCTAGAGTCATGGCCACACAACATTAAAGTGAGTATGGTGTCCTTCTTTTTCCATTGCTACCTTTCAGGTTCCTACATACCCTGCCAGCCCATCTCAAATGCCCCTGTCTTATCAAGCCTTTCCTAGTCCCCAATCTTCCCCTGGATTCTCCTTCCCCAAGTTTCCCCGTATTCAATATTGCCACTTAGTGGCATCTCTGGAATCAGACAGCTCTGAGGGTCCTTACTCTACCACTGACCTTGAGCAAGTCACTTCACTTCCCAGAGCTTTCATTTCTTCACCTTAAAATGGAAATCTTAATTCTTCACAAATATGTTTTGGAGACTAAATTAAACATTTACAGTAAATTTACTATTATAGTGGCTGGCAAAGAATTGACTGTCTTTAAAGGGTGGCTGTATTACAGTTATCTCGTTCTGCTTCCTATGATGGCCACCTTCCCAGCCAAAGTGTAAGTACTTTGAGATCAGGGCCTATAGACTATATTGCTTTCTCATCCCCAACTTCATACAGTGCCTGATCCATGGCAGATCTCAAGTATAGTCTAGTAAGTGAATAAATTCATGCATGAATGAAGGCTCAGAACCCTTCCCCCATCCCTAAAGACTTAGGAAATGGACATTCCCTTACTTGGCAGCCACAGTTCAGATGGTAGTGATGATTCAGACTTTCCCTCTGCACCAAGGACAGGTCCTCCCAGGGCTCGATGTAGTTGCACAGATGGATGAAGACTTTTCCATCACTGAGGACCTGACCTTCAAGGGGAGATGGAGGAGAGTCAAGCATGAGGATTCTTCTCCCGGAGCTCCAGGGGCCCAGGTTCTTGAAGAGCCCAGAATTGCAGCCTCCCCAGTGACTTTTTGGTGGCAGTGGTGGCATGGGACTCAATAAAGGGACCAAAAAATAAAACTACTATAATCTTTCTAGCAAAAAGATAAACAGATTATATTTGTATGAGACAGAGTTATGGGATCTGGTGAAGGCCTTTTCATTTAGCATGGTACAGAGAGAAGAATGTGGTCTTTAAAGTCAGAGTCTGTGTAGGACCCCCCCTCTTTCTTTTCTGTCATTTACTAGCTGAATGATCTTAAGGAAGTTGTATAACCTCTCAGCTGGAAAATGAAAATTATAAAGTTGTCAGATTAAATGAGAGAATGTCTATAAAGTTCCCAGCACAGTTGTGGTCCCACAGAAGATATTCAGTAAATAATAGGCCCCTTCCCCTTTTCCAGTCCTTCCCAGTATCTGCACAGGCCAGTCTCCTGCTCTAGATTAGTGAGTCTTTCCCCTTCCCCATAGGACATTTCCCCCTTTTTACCTATGAAATTCCTTTTTGCCTTTCAAAGACCCTTTCAGTGCCACCTCAAAGCCCTCTCTGACCACCTAGCCCATACCTCTTTTAGAACCTTAGTCGTTCAATCATTTACTCACTGAGTGACTACTGTGATCTAGTACCAGAAATACAGATATAAAAATGACAGGATCTCTGCTCCCAAGGAGCTTACAAATGAGTAGGGTTGATAGATAAGCAGGGGAAATTACACTATCGTGCAGTTCTATACAAAGTACAGTATAAGAACAAAGGAACATACAATTATTTCCATCTATGGAAGGGGCGTGGGACAAGGAGGGTGTATCAGAGGAGACTGTGCTTGCATTGGACCTTGAAGGGATGAGTGGGAGTTCACCTGCCAGACAGGTTGGGGGAAGGGCTTCCTGTCATTGCATCTATCCTGTGCAGAGGCAGGGGGACACAGCCTGGCAGCATACCTTCTGCAACTGCAGGTAGCTGAGTTCAGCTCTTGGGAAAGTGAGGGGCTGGGAACTGACATTGACAAATGACAGAAGACAATGCTAGAGAGGGCAGCAGTGTTCTGGTCACAAAGAGCTTTCAACACCAGGCAGAGGAGCTTGTGTCTTCTCCTGTAGGACATGGGTGCCATTGATAACTTTTCCGTAGACTAGTTTTTTGTCATTTATCCCCACCCTCAGTTAGACTTGACCTCCCCAAAGGCAGAGAACATGTTTCCTCATTTCCCCTGATTTACCTCCATGCCTGGCAGCAGGCTAGACACACAGAGGGTAGGTGCTTAGGAAGGAGGTGGGATAACAGAGTTTGAAAGGGCCTGGTCTGCCAGACCTGGGAACTGCAGGGCTCAGTAGTGTGTCCTGCCTCTGCCTGTCCCATCCAGGAGCTCCTCAGTTCTGCACAATTTCACATCTTCAGAGCTGGGAAGCCCTTATCATTGTAGCCTCCAGTGCCTATGACTCATCAAGAGCCATGTCTGGACAGTGAACTCTTTTGAGGACTGTGCCTTGTTACTGAATCTCCACTCTCCTGGCCAAGGCATGGCAGTGACTAAGTGGTCATTCATTGCTGAATGTGTGGATAGATAGTGGAATCCCTTCACCTATTCCCTCCCCCACAGCTGTGCTTTTTCTTTCCCTTGCTTTCTTTCTAAATATTGTTTTGTGTTTTCGGGCCAGTTTAGATCCCACTTACACAATGAAGCTTCCCTGATAGTTCACAGCTATCAAACAGTTCTATTCCCTGAACTCCAAAATAATTTAATGTTGCATTCATCTATGGAGTCATATACTTGTGTGATTCTTTAACTGTTCTATCCAAACCAATTCAGTATGGAGGAATCCTGCCTGGGCCCAAGTTCACAGAGACAGAACTATGTTAGACTCAAGCTCCTATTAGGTCCTGTGGAAAAGGCAGAGTTGACCTGCAAGGAGCAGTTTTAGAGAGGAGATTTTGACTTTGCCAAAAATCTGATACTAATTTAAACTATTTGAAAATGGAAGCAGCTGCTCTATACTGGGTGAGCAACCTGTCCTTAAAATAGTGAAACAGTAGCCAGGATCACTGTAATGAGAACTCTTACATTTAAAGGGAGGTTACAAGGCTCCTCCCAACTCAGAGGTTGTCTGTCACTAACACAGCTCTGTTTTATGCCCAAGAAAATGCCACCTGGCTCAGCCTGCTGCCCAAGGAAGACCCTGGCTCCTTTCTCACTACCTTCCCTCGGGCAGAATCTATTATATTAAGGCCAGTTGCTGGTCTTTAACTTACCAGTCAAGAGGTACTGCTTCTGGCTGTTGGCTTCTAGTTTCACACCACAGAGGGAAGAGTCAAAAGGTGTATAGATATACTGAACATCCTTGACTTTCTCAAACCCTTTGAACATCTGACAGGCAATTACAAAAAAAAAAAAAAAAAAAAGCAATATCGAGTCAGTGAGTGTACTGCATATATTAACAGGCAAAAATTTCTCATTTCTCAGCCTAAATATTTAAGCAGAAGTCCAGTTCAGGATTTTGTGTCCTCAGATGTCCCTACTGGGTTATTTTCTGTCTTAAAAAAACAAACAAAAAAACACCTAAACCTTGGTTTATTCCAGTAGGTACCTGTAGTGGCACCATACACCAGCAGCTGTGGGACCAGATGGACGCAGAGGCCCTCCCCTGCAATATCCCTGGGATTCTACGGGCTCTGCCTCCAAATCTCATCCAGTTCCACTTCAGCATCTAGACCCAAGGATCACTGAGCCAGGCCACCTGAAAGTTACCAGCCCTCCCAGAACACAGACCCCACTTCCTCCATCAGCCTTAGGGGCTACACATCCCAGCCTGCCCCCATGTACCTTTATCTGTTTGATTTCATACCGGAGCATTTTTTCAGTGTCAGCAGGGTCTGCACTGGCAGGAACTACCTTCTCACTGGAGATTTTGGCCCGAATCACTGCATAGGAAGAGAAAAGAGGGAACCTTTAGCAGCTGGTGGGGGCAATACACCTGAGGTCTGGATGATCCAGGGTCCCTGAAGAAGTCTATAGGGCAATTCTTGGTTTTGGTGTGACCAGGTTGTGAGCAACGTGATGTGTGAGAAGGGGGACCTGGAAACGCCTCCTGTGCAGTCCCTGGAAGTTCCAAACCCCTCAGGCTTATTAGGTTCTATAACCGCTAAGCTCTTTCTGCTTTTTCGAACCAGTTAGTCTGGAGAGCTCTAGTTCTCCATAGCCGTTTGTGCAGTGGGGCACAGGGTAGGAGTCAGAGTACAGAAGGGAGGAGGAGCCTCTTCAGGGCAGTTGGTGTGAAGTTTATTGCTGTGGTCAAGGCCTCTCAGCCTGCCTACAGTTGACATTAGTAAATGTTTATTGAATTCATAAATGTTCTGACCCTGCACTGAGGTATTGCATCTCTTGCCATTTGAGCATTAATAACCAAAAACTGTTGATGACGTTCTTCCTCTGTGCCTGGCCCTGCACTAGGCACTAGGCCCATAGATGTGATTAAGACAGGGTCCCCATCCTGCAGAGCTCTTGATCTAGTGCAGGGCATACTTGTAAAGAACAATAGCACAGCATAGTAGGAGCGCTAAGACGGTTAGATGCTGAGGCGGCACCAAGGAGCCAGGGAGCCTGCAGAGAAGGGGAGAGACCTAAGTTAGACCTTGAAGGATGAGTAGGAGTCTGCCAGGAATTTAAGGGTGTGAGGGAGGGCATTCCAGGCAGAGGGAAAAGAAAGGACAGAACGTGTGTGTTGCGGTAGGGGCTTGGTGGCAACCTCAGTTATAGGCCTGGACAGACCCCGGTAGTTATAATGCAAGCCCTCTGCCCTCCCCTTTCTGTCCCCAGTCCAGTAGTTCAGAATAATCATCAGATAGCTCCAGTGACACCTTGTTCAGTGACACTCCATAATTGCAGTATGGCCAGAGTGAGGGACGTCGCTATGGAAGTCCCTGACGCAACCTTCATTTCCTTATGAATCAGTCAGGTTCTGCGCTTGCAAGGTTGCTATGGCGCCTGGTCCTTCCCGACCTATCAGCCTCAGCAAGAGGCAACCGGTCGGAATTTGAGCTCCTCCCTTTTCCTCTGGACTCCTGGTCTACTGCTGGCCAGATACTAATCCCCCCACAACCACCCCCTGCTGTGGACCTCGCGGACCTCGGACTCACCAAGTGCCGAGTGGCAGATGTGCTGCTGAGGGTGCGCCGGGGCGCAGCTGCATGCCTCGCCCAGCCCCGGGGGCCGCAGCAACGCCAGCAGCCGCAGCAACAGCGCCCAGCTCGGCGCGGGCCGGGGGCTCCCAGGCATGACACTGCAGAGCCCGACTGAGCCTGTGAGGTCTGTCAGACCGAACAGCCCCAGCAGGGCTCCTTCCCAAGGCCGTCGTGCCCCTCGCCCCAGGCTTTATGAGGTGGCCCTAAGGGCCAATCCCGCCCCGATGGGCTCCGCCTTCCTTTGGCTCTAGGCCACCCGCGGCGGCAGGACCCGAGGCTCTTCCGACCTGCATACTCAGTAAGATGCAGAGGGAAGCCAGGAAAGAGGCCCTGGCCTCTGTTTCCCTGCCTAAGTCATGAAGCGCTCTGGAAGTAAAGGGAAAGCGCTGGGAGAGGGGATGGTGTCAAGGGCAGAAAAATGGAAAGAGCCACAAAGACAAATGCATGAGGACAGAAAGACTGAGGGCTGTGATTCAGGCAGAAAGAACAAGAGTGAGGAGAGGCACAGACAGAAAGAGTGAGACAGGCAGAGTCCCAGAGAGGCAGACAGAATTACAACAGGCAAAAGAGACAGTGACAGAGAAGGACGGACCCCTTGCTGAGCTGCACGCTGGGAATGAGACGAGCTACTCAGGGCTTCTTTCAGCTGCAGGAAGTGCTTTCAATGCCCTATTTATGAGGCTCCAAAGCAACAGCAAACAGTAATAGAACAGGACAGAGAAAGTTGGGGTGTGTGTGTCTTGGCTCTGTTGCCTGGGGGGTGGGGAGAGATGTCAAAGAAGCAGCCAGAGCTTTAGAAACCCTTTCTCACTCCCAGAGCCTCAGACTCTCCAGATAGCTGGAGACAGCGCTCTTGGTGTGGGTACAAAACACAAGGTGTCCCATCACTTAGAGCAAACCTTGGACCTCAAAGCCCTCTTGAGTCCCTAGGCTACACTGATTTTTATTGCATGTCCCTTCTCACTGGAGACTATGTCATGTTCTAGAAGGTGGGATAGCTTAGAAAACAAAGAAGCAGACTGGGCACAGTGGCTCACACCTGTAATCCCAGTGCTTTGGGAGGCCAAGGCGGGTTGATCACCTGAGGTCAGGAGTTGGAGATCACCCTGGCCAACATGGTGAAACTCCATCTCTACTAAAAATACAAAAATTAGCCAGGCATGGTGGCCTACACCTGTAGTCCCAGGTACTCAGGAGGCTGAGGCAAGAGAATGGCTTGAACCCAGGAGGCGGAGGTTGCAGTGAGCTGAGATTGTGCCACTGCACTCCAGTCTGGGCGACAGAGTGAGACTCCATCTCAAAAAGAAAAAAAAGAGAAAACAAAGAAGCAGGGGACTTGGGGGTGACTGTGACCAGAGCCTTGTCTGCTGTTTGAGCGTAGTGTTCCAAGCCTCCAAATCCCAAATCTCCATGGGATTATTGCTGTGGGATGTTTCCACGTGGTGCTGGACTGGATAGTGGGAGGCTGGATTCCAATTCTGACTGTCACTATAGCTTTGTGACTTTTGCCTCTCTGGGCATCAGTTTTTTCTCCATAAAGTAGAGTTGAACTATGTGATTTCTAAAGCCCTTTGACGTTCTGTTTTCCAGCCTTGACTGGCCTCAACCAGGAATTCTGAAATCATCAGGCCAGATACCCCCAATATCTGTTCAAATCTTAGTTCCCATAGGAGTCTGACTTTTCATCAGGGTCAACATTATTTCCTTCAAAGGATACATTTTAAAGATGTAGGGTACACCAAATAAGAGAACAGGGTTCCTGTAGCACTGCCAGTAATATGCTGTGTGACCCTGGAAAGTCACTGTCATTCCATGGGTCTCAGTTTTTTAATCAGTAAAGCAAGTAGATTGGACTAGTTCTTTCTTTAAAGAACCCTCCCAAGGGCATTCCCAAGAAAAATATTTGTAGGATTCCACAGAGAGGTGGGCACACTCTGACAGTTTATTCCTTTCTTTTCTGATTTCAGCTGACACTGCCCACGTTCCCTGTGGTGGTGAAGATTGGCCACGCTCACTCAGGCATGGGCAAGGTGAGGCAGAGAGGCCTGCTGTACTTCAGGGTTGAACCAAGAAGGGCAGTTTTCAGAGCGCCCATTTGTGAACTGCTCTTCTCCCTCTGTCACTGATGAATTCTTTCCAAAGAGAAGATGATTTGCCACCTCTAAAGCCATGAGTGTCACCCAACCAGACCTCTTTCAGTAAGCAGAATGCAAGCCACCTGCTTGGTCCTCTGGGTCCTTTGCAGCAAGTGTGGCCCCTGAGTTCTGGGAAGGGAAGCTAGGGAAAAGGGGCCTCCTGGGAAGATGTGGCACCCAGATTAGTGTCTGGATCGGATACATATTCGTGGGTTTGGAGGCTCAGGGCCCTTGTGACTTCTCAGTGTGTGTATGTGTGTGTCTCCCTTTCCCCCTTTCTGCCTTGCTCCAACATTAGGTCAAAGTGGAAAACCACTACGACTTCCAGGACATTGCCAGTGTGGTGGCTCTTACCCAGACCTATGCCACTGCAGAGCCTTTCATTGACTCCAAGTATGACATCCGGGTCCAGAAGATCGGCAACAACTACAAGGCTTACATGTAAGTAAGAGTGGGGTATGCTTTCTCCTCAACCACAGTGGAAAATCTGAGCCTCCACATTGCAACCAACTCTCAGTTTAACCTCTTCTGGCCCATAGGCAGATAACAGAGAGAGGGTGCCACTTAAGTCAGAGATTTTTTACCTGGATTCCTTTTAAGTCAGAGGAGGGGTCTGTGAACTAAGATGAGAAAATACATTAATATTCATTTTCACTTGCCTCTAAAGGAAATTTAGCTTTCTCTTCATTTTGAACAGAGACAACAGACTACAGTAGTTATCTGTACATAGGAGTTTGTCACTAAAGGCGATCACTGATATTCTTATATCTTACTATAATTGAGACAGATATCTCTATGGATTATTCTCATTCCTACTTTAAAATCATGGTAGTTGTTAGACTTGCCACTGCCTCCTGTTACTTAGAAAGAAACACGTATTTTACTAATCACAGATTTGTTTAATATTTTTGATAACTCTAATTGGGTAGCTCTGGGATCCCATGTACTCTGTCTTATATGGTTACACATCTTATATATTGTGTTCATTGGAAGGAATCCATAGGCTTCCCCAGACTGCCACAGCTCGAAGTTAAAAAGTTCCTGATGTAAATACCCAACACTGAAAATGCTACAGGCATTAAAAGCCCAGTGCATGACTTCTCTATAACTGTGTCCATTTGCCAGGATGGAAAGTTAAAAATTTCCTTCATTAGAATTTAGTAAAGGAAAAGATTTCAAAACTACCTGACTTTCCATAATATGCATAAAATGCAAGTGGCTTGTAATTCCAATTTTAGAAATATTAATCCCCCACTAAAAAAGTTTACAGTGGTGTTTTCTTTACAAAGAAAGAACATTATTAATATATAGATTTAATCTTGGTCACTTGGGACTTTAGCAGACTTCAAGGTTGAGCAGCGTTCCCTTTCCCTTCCCCACCTGTGTCTGTTTTTCTTCTCTTACCCACCTTTTCACTACTTACACTCCCCACCCCTAGAGTGACATAGGCCCCCTCCCTGCACTCCTGTCCCATACCACCCTTCTTCACACACCTCCTGGTTAGCCCTTGCTGCACATGTGTTTTGTGTCACCCTCCTCCTCCGGACTCTGAGCTCCTTGTGGGCAAGAATGATAGAATCATCTCTGCATCTCCACTACCTTGTATAGCAGCAGGAACATTAATAAGCACCAATAAGTATTCAGGGAAGAACCCTTGTGGAAAACTGAGGCATAGAATTTATTTTACCTTTATTGTCAAGATTTGTACTTTTTTAGTTTACAACTTTATATTTACAGTCTTCTTGCTTCCAGAAAAGATTCAGGATTGCTTTAGAAATATGCACAATGTGGCCAGGTGTGGTGGCTCACATCTGTAATCCCAGCACTTTGGGAGGCCAAGGCAGGCAGATTGCTTGAGCCTAGGAGTTCAAGACCAACCTGGGCAACATGGTAAGACCCCATTATCTACAAAAGATACAAAAATTAGCTGGGTGTGGTGGTGCTTGCCTGTAGTCCCAGCTACCTGGGAGTCTGAGGTAGAAGGATCACTTGAGCCTGGGAGGTCAAGGCTGCAGTGAGCTGTGATTGCACCACTCCGGCCTGAGTGACGCAGGACCCTGTCTCAAAAAAAGAAAAGAAATATGCACAATCTAAGACAGAATAATTTAAAAACCATTATAAAAACTTGCTAAAAGAAGCAAAAAATATATATATGTTCAGGCACCTAGGAAAGCAGATTACCTATCCTATAACTTTAAAATCCCCTAAATAAACACAAAACATTAAACAACAGTGGGGTAAAAGTATCTTGATCCTTAAAAGAAGACACCTAGTTTTTAAGGGTTAGGGTTTCAAGAAACAACTCAAAATGAAGCATAAAAAAAGAGAATTCCAAAACATTGATGAAGGGTGGGTGACCAGAGAAACTTTAGATAACATTTACTTACTTTTTTGTGTGCAAGGAGAAATGTTTAGGCCCTCTTAGCTTCTCTTCATCACACTTCTTCCCCAAACTTGTGGCTATATTCCTGCTCTCAGAAGAAGGAATTGACTTAGTAGTAGCCAAGATCAGGCTTGGGATTCTTTTTGTCTACCCCAGCAATCTCCGTGGAGATCCAGAGACAGCCACTTTGGTGTGAAGAAGGTACCATTCCTGCCTCCATCTGCAGTAGGCAATAATGTGGGTCAGCTGTGGAGGTCAGATGATTTTTGGGTCTAGAGAATGGCCTCTCAGTGTCCCCTCTGCTCCCACATGCCTCAGGTAGCCTATATGGATCTATGCCTTGCATCCCATTGTTAGAGAACAGTGTGAAGTGTTGGGGAGCTTTGCAAACTTTAAAGTGCCATGCAAATGTAAGGATGTTGTTATTATCCACTCAAAAAGGATTTTAACCTATAAATTAACTTCAACAGGGTTATATAATGTTTTTTCTAGTATCTTAAATGTTGAAAAAGTCATAGAGGTTATCGGACTGGCTTGAAACCAATTATATGGGGTTCAGTGTCTTCCTTTTCTTTGAGACAGAGTCTTGTTCTATCACCAGGCTGGAATGCAGTGGTGCAATCTCAGCTCACTGCAACCTCCGCCTCCCTGGTTCAAGCGATTCCCCTGCCTCAGCCTCCTGAGTAGCTGGGACTACAGGCACCCGCCACCACGCCTGGCTGATTTTTTGTATTTTAGTAGAGACGGGGTTTCACCATGTTGACCAGGATGGTCTCGATCTCCTGACCTCATAATCTGCCTGCCTTGGCCTCCCAAAGTGCTGGGATTGCAGCATGAACCATTACATCTGGCCCTAACTTTCTTATTTTAAGCGTTTATGTAAGTGAGTCCTTCAAATAATATGGTATGGTGATGGGCAGCCATGAAGTCATTCAAAATTTGTGATTGAAAGGTTCTACTACTGAAACTTCTCATTTTGAAGTGAAGCCTTCTCAGATTATGAAAATTATTAATATTACTACTAATGAAATAAATAAGCCTATAGATGAAACAGTGTTTCACATTGTATTATGCATCAAGGCAGTA